GCAAAATTGTATAACCTATATATCAACATTAAAATTAAATTAAAAAAAAAATGTTAGGCAAGAAATAAATTCCAAATAATTAAATTTAAGAATCGATCGCTTTTAGTCACTTTCGATTAATTTATTATTGTTAGTTGAAAACAATGGAAAGGCGATCAGTTGTAAGGTTAAGTTTCTCAATTATCATATCGATTTAAATATTCAATAGAGATATATAAGTATTTAATTTCGAATATTAAAATTTGAATAATTTTTACCTAACTGACAAATACCTCGATACATTAGATCTCAGAGATTTTATTCGAAATAATAGTTTTAAATCCTAGTGATCGTCAATGATTCTATACGCATCGTATATCGCGTTAAATTAATCTAGTTAGAATAAAAGCTGGTAGCGAAGCGTTACAAATGGAACATTTCTTCCAATCTACATTGTTTGTGAATTGCTAATTATTAACTAAGAGATTGTTTCAATTATGCGCCAGTACATTGACCTGTTCGTTTGCAATGTCGTGACGGTGAAAACTATAGTTTATCGAACATGGACGGTAAGAAATCGATCGAACAACGTACTTAGTATATGTTGTGTTCACGTGCGAGCATAGTGAAGTCTAGACAGTCAGTTGCTACGTTTTATGACCACCTTATGCCAAAATCCTATTCCAAGAATATAACTGCATGGACATCGTACATACATCCTTTTATAACTTACATAAAATTTATTCTATAATATTATTCCTCTTTCCGTAGATAATGTTTTTGTTTTGAAAATATATCCCCATAATTTTGGAAAATTTATAGAAACAGTACTATTATAATGCATGTAAAGTTTTACATTGTAAAGTAAGAAAATATTTCTCTATATTTTAATTTTTCTTAATATTTATTTTTTTTAATAAGAAGATCAATATCAGTTAAAAAATTAATATTTTCATTTTATTATTTTTATATTTAAATATATATGAATTATATCAAAAACAAATATATGAAATATATTAAAATATATTAATCGAATAATTTCTTAATGCAAGTGAACATTGGGTCCGTCAACTTTACTTCCTTTATTTGCTATATTTAGTTATTTTTAACTTTCGTTATAGTATCCTTAATTCGCAGCATAACTCATTGCTGTTTTCATTGGTTAATCATGAAAATCATAAATCGAAGAAAGATAATAAGATAAAAAGAAAGATAAAAAGATAATAAGATAATAATAAAAATCGATATGATAAAATAAAATTGTTGATTAAATAAAATAAAACAAAATAATTTTAATGTTTATATTTTAGGACAATATTAAATAACTATGGAAGCTATCAATTTTTCAATTTCAAAAACATATCGCATAACACTGAAGAAATTCTATTTAGAAAACTATTTTATATTTCTAAATTTTATTAAAAAAAAAAATTTAATAAAGATAATATCAGGAATCAAGAAAAGATGAAAAAAAAAGTAGTTAAATAACAATGTGTATCAAACTATAATAAACTATTATTATACTTTAATATTATATTATTATAAACGATAATATGAACTAGAAATAGAAATAATTATATCAGTATAAACATAGAAAATAGATATCTAATAAATATAAAATAAATATTTTCAATAAATTATTTAAATAATTATACGTGAATATATATTTAGAAAAATTTTGTAAATGCGTAGAATACTTATTTTCAAATATTATTATCAATTTATTATTATTTAATAACATGAAAGTACTTATTGTCATGAAATATCACTACAAAATAAAGTTTAATCCACGAAAGCATTCAAGATTTTTAGTTTATTATTTTATATTATACATTCAATATATACATTCAAAATAACATTCAATAGGTAAAGTGTTTTTATATACTACAAATTCAATTTCGGCTAAAACAATACATAAAATCAAAAAGATACTACAAAAGACACTCATGAAAGTAACCAACTTTTTCAATATTTTTTACATAATTTTTATACATAAAAATATAAAAAAGAACTATATATTTCTATTAATAAAAACTAAAAATCATTGCACTTTTCGATGATTATATTTATACTTTTTGAAAATAGTAATTTAATTTTTTTAATATTTCGATAGTTTTAAAAAGATAAAATTTCTAATAAAAATTATATATATATTCATCTGGAAGTACTTACTTTATAGACAGCAGTCCAAAGATTTTTCAAGTCACCGACCTTTGTATATATGTATCTATGTTACATCAAATCATCTTCTGTTTTGAACACGATAGAAAATGTTTTTCATTTCACACGCATTTCTACACAATAAAGATATTATATTTTTCACATATAAATTTCTTCTTATTACGAAAGAAAAAAGAAAAATTGTTGGATAAAAATAATATTAACAAGAAACGAGAAACGTATACAAGAGATCTGCCTCCTACCGTTGTCGTTCGAAAACTCATGGTGCGAGCTTGATGCGATCGTGTGCTCTTCCCCCACTCCAACAAAGTTAATCGTAGTAGAGAAACCCCTTGTGTTGTCGTATTTCGAACCTGCTCTTCATATATAAACGAATACACGTGTACTTATATACACTACATTCAAAAGTTGAATATGCTTATTACTAAAGAATTCTTAAATTTCTTTCTTTCTTAGGATTAATACTTTAATTTTTTATGCATTTTATAATCTTTTATTATTCTGTATTTTTTAAATTTCTTAAAATACTTTTTGCTTTTATATCATATTCAAAAATATATTTTTTTGTATGCTGAAACTTTTGATAGATAATGTATGTAGGTACATATGTACACAATTTCAAACGGAACGTAATCATTAGATGTTCATGAACCGTGTATACGACATAGAACAGGTACTTTAAGTTTTTATATAAAAATTTTGCTTTTTCACTATTATAAATAAATAGTATAAATTAAACTATTAAAAATGTATTATTGAGAAATTCAATTAAACATAATATAAATGTACAAAATTATATCATAGTTCTTTGTAAAATTATATTATAATATCGTATATAATAAATATGGAATTATTATTATATTATATTATATATATCGATATAATATAATATAGATATATATATATATATATATAGATAATATATATATAATATAATATAGATTATATTATATCGATATTATATTATATTATATATATCGATGTAATATAATCTATTATATTATATATATCGATGTAATATAATCTATTATATTATATTATATCGATATTATATTATATTATATATATCGATGTAATATAATCTATTATATTATATTATATCGATATATTAATCACTCTGATTAATTTTTAATAACTAGAAACTTTTTAAAAATAATATTTATCTTAATAATAAATATTCATTTTATTTAAAATTTATAATTAGTTCAATGTAATTTTTTCAAAGTTTCAATATTTATTACATTTAAAATTTATTATAATTTAAAACTTATATCGATTTTTGATCCAAATAATAATATGTTAAATTTAAAACTGTTACAGATATTGTCAAAGATCATATGATCACGCAATATGGAATTATCAAAAAATTCATAATGGTTATTATCATGCCAGTAGATGAGAAGAGATTATATGATACAATATATATATATATATTAGTACTATTTACTATATATATATATATAGTATTGCATTACGCGAATATGCACAGTAAGTATACAGTAGATAAGTATTGCATTATACATATACATATACAATTTACTTTATTTAATGCGATCTATGTAATCGCGATTTTATTTTTCTGTCTCAAAAATATCAAATCTGCATAACTTTTACAATCACATTTAAAAAAACATATTTAATATTTATATATTTACAACTTATATAAAAATAATGTATGAATAAACAATACAGTGATAATCAATTCTTTTTCCTCTGATATGTAGATAATCTTTTTGTACATTTTTTTTATAGAAAAATATATTTTAATGATGTAATTTTATGGTCTACTGTACTTGCTTGAAATGATTTTTAGGGTGATGTATAATTTTCCATGTCCTTTCATGCTTGGTTTCCTTTTACAAAGAAAAGGATCTTTATATTGCACTCCCTCTTTTTTGGTTACCCTTCTTCGATGTGGGGTTTGTTCTGCAACACACTTTCATGAATAAAGTATATAACATGACAGACGAAAGGCAACTGTATTAGAATAGAACGCGGGACTTTAAGGCGCCTCACGCAACAGTTTTATACGTAAATATCCATATATTTGTTTGCAATCTTTTTTATCTGATTGTTTTCAAAAATTGCAAATCATTCTATATTATAATATGTGAATAAAATTAATATATAAAAATTAAAATTTAACTTTTTAATACAAAAATTAAATATTTTTTTAATAAAATTTTTATATTAAATTCTATTTATATATTAATTTTTTAATTTTATTTTATATTTTTAAATTTCTTAATTTTTAATAAATATGAAATAGTTTAATAATAGTTATTATATTTCAAGAAATTTATTCGTCAATTTATTCATCAATAAGATATTTATTTCTTATTCCATTCATTTATTTTAATAAAAAAGTATTGAAAAATTGAACAAATTCTAAATCTAAAACAAATTCTGGTTTTTAGAATTATGCAATACATACAGTGGAAATTATTTAAAATTCCTTTAACTTATTCATATTCTTTAAATTCATATAGTTATCGATAGTTAAAGTATAATTTATAAATACTATACTAATACATAAATTATATCAAAGTTATATGTTAATCATATCTTTTTTACACCTTCAAAATTATATTTTGTATATCAATAATAAATATATCAATAACTAAAAAGTAACATTCTTGCTTTCTGCATTTTTAAAAAGAAAATTGTTATTGTACTTATTATAGTTATATTTTTTTCTATAATTTAATTTTTTATTCAATTTGTATTACTAATATAATGATATTTAAAAAACATTTTATATTATAAAGATTTTCATATTCTTGTATATATTTTTGTATATCTCTTTTTTTATTTAATAAATTTATTTTGAATTTTTTAAAACATATTCAATGTAAAAACATTCTTTAAAATCTGACGTCGTCGCAGTCAATTCCGTTTTAGTGGCGCTTCTGTCGTATTAACATGAACAGTATCCGGCCACGTTAAAATAGCTTGTTTGGTTATAATATTAGCGGCGATTTTGATCAATTAATTAAATATTGTGTTTTGCAAACTTTCTCAAACTTAAATGTGAATAAGCTGCAAGAAATAGGAATTTAACGAAGAATGGACTACTGGTCGATTTGCTTGCTATTTATTTCGCTATTGGGTACGATATTACGTACTGGTGGTGTCGAGCTATCCTTTGAACTACCTGACAATGCGAAACAATGTTTTTATCAGGATATTGAAAAAAATGCGACCGCATTATTTGAATTTCAGGTATATATTAATATAATTTTATTAAATGAAATTTTTTTATATATATATAATATAATAGCACAATTATAAATATATGAGAAATTAATTTAGTTTAATATAATAACGATATTTATAATTGTCATTAATTTATTATTGAAAATCAATATGTTTAAAAAAATTAAATATATTTTTCTAAAAATGAATGTTTTTTTAGGTTGTGACAGGTGGACAATATGATGTAGATGTAATTTTGGAAGCACCAAATAAAGAGATTATTTATAAACAAATAAAAACGCAATTTGATTCACATCAATTTATAGCATCTATGACAGGAGCATATAAAGCTTGTTTTAGCAATGAATTTTCAACCTTTTCACATAAACTTGTTTATATGGATTTTAGAGTAGGTGATCAATCATCACTTGGAGAACATGTAACTGTTATGACTCAGGTAATATAAATTATTTTTATATTTTTTAATATAATTAATAATTTAAAATATTAATAAATATTATACTAATATTTCTAGATGGAATCTTCTGCTCAAACAGTACACAAGAATCTAAATAGCATTTTAGATTATCAAACACATCATCGATTAAGAGAAGCACAAGGTCGTAAACGTGCAGAAGATTTGAACACTCGTGTACTCTTATGGTCCGTTATGGAAACTATTACAATCTTAGTTATATCTGTGGGGCAGGTGTATATCTTAAGGACCTTTTTCACAGAGAGAAAACGTTAATATGTTTATTAGTGTATTTGCGAATAATAATACTTTTTTGTTCGCAAATTAAACAATTTATCCATCAAGTGAACGTGAGACATCATCATACTTAATATTTCACAAGTTCCACCAATTATGGTGCCATGTTAAACTGGGCCAGTTGTGTATTATATCTATGTTTATTTTGGACTTGGAAATACAATTTCAAACAGATGGAATAATGTAGCAGCAGAAACTTGCAGTTTACTAAATTATGAGAATGTTGTGTATGCGCGTTTATGTGTGAATAATTTGAATATTAAGTTATAAAAGTTAGAACTTTTTAATAAGTACTTGCTCTAATATAAACATTAATAAGAAATGTGGAAATAATTAAACTATCTTCTAATAGTAAATCTTTATGTTATAACTGTATTTTGGCATTGACAGTGTAACATTGCCATGAGAGACATTTTTCTTACTGTAATAATAAATTAGAATATTTGCGCGTATATATGTGTTACTTTCTATAATTACTTTTCCCATCTTATTTTTGATTGATACTTAAATATTAATATAATTGTTACACATATATTTAATATATTGTATTTATGTACGTATATAAATATTTTACTTAATGTATATTGATTAAAAAATAAAAATATTTGAAATTTGCATTTTCTATAATTAAAAAAATATGTATAATAATATTAAACATTTTTAGAAATATAATTTTCTAATTTCATGTATTTTTTTTTATAGAACCATAAAAATTTATATAATGCATTCTCTTTTATAAATATTTTAAATAAAATAATATATGAAATTTTTTATTGGATATTTTTTTTTAGAAAAAATTAATCATTACGCATAAAATTAACAATAAATAAATATCTACATCATACATGATATTAATTTTTTCTATACTGACTACTATTTATAAATATTGACATATTAATATGATGAAAAATATTTATCCAATAATGAAAACGATATTTTCAATACATGTCACAAAAAAATTAAAAAACAGAATTTACAAAAATTTGTTTTGTTATTTAAAATATTAACATTATTACTAATATTAATCATTATTAGTATTATTAATATTAATTAATTACTAAAATATATAACATATATATATTTTTATATAATAATATAATTGATTTAAATTTTGTTTTTACGGAAATACGTAATGTAAGTATTCTTGAGATTGCCAGTAGAGCAATTTATCTATATATTCAATTTTAATGGTGATAGTAAAAATACAAATAAGAAACAACAGCTGTTATAACCTGTCAAAGAAAAGATATAAATAAATTTTATCAAAATTGTATAAAGTTTCACATCATGGAGGTAAATTTTTTAATTTTTTTATATCTAAGTTTTATATTTATTTTTATAAATTATCAAAAGTCTTTTATTTTATTGAATATTGTATTTATTTAATGCTAATAAAAATGTTATATTTACGTACGTATATTTTTAATTTACACAATTTATATTTTAATTAATACTATATTTTTCCAGGAACAAGATATTCCTATTGATATTAATAGTGGAAAATTATTAGAATGGTTAATTAATAGAAGGCATTGCACTAAAGATTGGCATGTAATGATTTTACCTATCAGAGAAAAAATTAATAATGCAATACAAGATATGCCTATTCATGAAGGCATTGCAAAATTATTATCTGGTTCATGTATGTTTAATTATTATTTTATTATATTTATAATTTAACAATTTATAATTTAATTTATATTTTTTTAGATATAAATTATTTTCATTGCTTGAAAATAATAGAAATTTTAAAAGAAACTGAAGCTGATACAAAAAATGTATTTGGCAGATATGGTTCACAAAGAATGAAAGATTGGCAAGAAATATTACGTTTATATGAAAAAGATAATATATATCTTGCAGAAATTGCACAAATACTTATAAGAAATGTTAATTATGAAATTCCAAGTACTAAAAAACAAATTCAAAAACTAGAACAAATACAAGTTGTAAGTACTTATTATTATTTGTATATTATTTATTATTACATTTTTATAAATAAAAAATTTTTTAATAGGAATTAGAAAAAAAAGAAGCTGACTATAAAAAATCAGAAAATATTGCTAGATCAGAATTTAATTTACTTTGTAAGCAATTAGGTATTCCTGGAGAACAAATAAAGCAAGAATTAACTGAAAAAGTAAAAGAACTTCCAGAAATTTATGAAAAAATTGCCAAAAAAATAAAATCATTAGAGAAAGTTGTAGAATTTTATTGTGCTTTTGTTAATTATACTCTTGGTAGACAGCATGATGGTGGTTGTGTTCCTATGGTAAAATATATAATTGGTATGTTAAATTATTTAAAGAATATATTATACATATATATACATATATATATTGTTATACATATTACATATTATAAATTAATTAGATAAAGGAAATACTACAACATATGAATGGATTTATGGAGAAGCTCCACTATCAGTTAATGAACCACCTTTAAATATAAGTTTAAATAATGATGATTTAGAAAATAAGAAAATTGAAGATATTGATAACATTGTATGTAACATTAATAACATTATAAAATATATGAATAATTATAAATTTTTTCCTAATATTTTCATAAATTCAGGGAATTGATTTTGAAAAAATTGATATAAACAATGGCATAAATTTTGAAGATATAATGTTAGAAGTTGGAGGTGAAATTGATTGGGGTGATGAAAATACAGATGAGACTATAGAAGATGAAAATATAGATTATAATATTTCTTTAGAAGAATCTGGTATAGTTGTAGAAGCAGCTGGTCATGAAGGTGGAATTGCTACTGGTAGTAAAGCATATACTATTCTTGACAATCCATCAACTAGAAATGATTTTATTAATCAGTTATTTGAGGTACATAAATTTTATATTTTTTCTGATTAATAATTAAATTTTTCTGATTAAATTATATTTTGATACTATTTTCTAAATCATTATTTTTTTTTTTTTTTATAGTTGGAAGCATTTCTTAAAGTACGTTTATATGAGTTTAAAGGGGATGATAGTGTAAATTTTTTAAGCTTTAGTCAACTACAAGATTCATCTTCTATTGTTCAGTATTCTACATTGGAAAATACTCAAAATATGTTAGATAATGTTCAAGTTGTTTTATCTGAAATTTTGGATACTAAAGTTCAACATTTACATAATATTAAACATTCTATAAGGTAAATAAATAAATATTATATTATATTTATATAGTATTTTTACAGAAATTTGTTTTTATAGATATGTAGATGTTTTAACTTCATCATTGAAACAAAAATTAAGCTTAGTTGAAAAAATGATAATTTTACAAAAAAATGTAAAAGAGAAACGAGAAAATTCTGGTGAAGATATTAATTCTATTAGACCTTATCTTCAACTTCTTATACAAAAAACAAAGGAACTTCAAACAGAGGTATTTGAAATAATATTCATTGCATATGAATATCTTATTATTATATTATTAATGTACTATTTTTCTTATTTTGTTTATAGATCGAACAAGATATTTCAAAAAAATATAAAAACAGAACTGTCCATTTAACTGGAAGTATAAATATGTTGTAAATAATTAAAAAAAAGAATAAAAATAATATGTCTATTGTAAATAAGATTTTATTACAAAATAAAGAATGAATAATATTATTTAATGATATGAAGAAATTACTATATTTTCTAATATTATTCTTATTGAATGCTTAATTCTTTGAAAAATAATAAAAATGAAAATTAAGAAACTATTTCGATATATATTATTTTGTTGATTTTATAATTTCATAAAAATATTTGTACATTTTGTCATAATAAATGTTACAGTACTTACTGAAATATGTTTCTTATCTTTGGTATGAACACTATGTTAATAATAATTAAGTACCGTTTCATAATTATGCCAATAATTACATAATCATAAAAAGATTTTGTACGAGTCTCCAAGGTGAAGAAGTGCATACAGCTTTAGTTGTTGGACAAGGATAACGTTTTAAACACTCGGCGAATGAACGATCACATTCACACAATCGTTGAGCACATGATCCAGAGCCTCCCCAATTTCCATGTTCAACAGCTTTAATACAAAGAAAAATATTGTTTAAAATAAATATAATTATAATTATATATATATAATAATAAAATAACGCATTCAATGAAGCTAACCGCATACTGGTTTGTGACCACGATAACATCTCCAATAATATGGTATAAAGTATCCTGAAAATACTGGACATTCTGTAGCATCATAGCACCAATCGTGCATTTTACAACATCTAAAAAAAATTATTAAAATATTTAAATTATGAGACTTATTTTTATGAACTTCATTAAAAATAAAAATATATATTTCGTAAATATATGCATAAAGTTTACCTATCTATTCCATCTATTACATATCCGGAACCCAAAAAACCGCAATAACATCCATATCCTTTATAAGCTAAAGGATTACATCCAGTGGCGCATACTACCATGTTATATAAATGTATAACACCTCTTTTAAATCTTTTATGTGTTAAACTTTGTTTATTATACATTCTAAAATAATATAAATTTTATAAACAATTAAAAATTATATATTTTTCTTATAAAATAAAAGATTTACAATTAAAAATAATATATTTTAATTAAGTAATGTTATTAAAATATTGCTAATAAATTATTTGTTTAATAAATAAATAATTAAATAATAAAATAAATGAAAAATGTAAAAGATATTAAAAAACACAAACATACAATATTCGATTATCTCTTGTATTATTATATGTAAAATTAATAGATGGAAATTCATGTATATAAGTATTTTCCTTTTGCATAGATATTGAATCCCATCTCTCATCATTTTGTTCAAATTGAAGAGTTTTTTTTTTCCCAATTGTTTTCTATATAATTGGATGATGGTTTATTTTCATATAACTTATATATTTCTCTATTTCTAATTAATTTCTGAGTATTTGGAGTATTCCTGGCTATAATAAAAATATTTAATAATAAATTAAAAATTCTAATAAGATGAAAACAATAATATTAAAAATTATTGAATTATTATTAAACAAATCATAATAATCGTAATGATAACAATTTAACTATATCAAATCATTTAAATAACTTGTTTTACATAAAAATTTATTTGCACATTTTTGAAATTATCTTCTCTTCAAAATAAACTTTTCATTGCATAAAACATGCATAATTTATGGTCATTACAAACTACGACTAAGTTAGTTTTCTCTCTAAAATTATCCTAATTTCTTTTAATATATCTTATTTTATATTTAATTTTATACTTTGTTGTTATAATTTTTATATGATTTTTATAAATTTTATATTTTAAAAATTTACATAATAAAATACATATATAATAATTAAAAAAATATTAATTTATTTTTTTAAAAAAATCACTTATTCTAATTATTGATAATAATAATTAGAATTTCTAACAAGTCATCCCTTTTTTCTCGAGCTATTTTTTAATTCGAAATCGAACGAAAATATATTTTTTCAATTGTTCTGTTCTTTTCTTTCACGCTTACTGCTTCACGATCTTTAAGAATGAGACATACTTATGTCTACAGTGACTTCAATTATTACAATCATTGGAAAACTCACTTATCAATTATTAGGACAGAACTGCTAAGACAACCGCTATCTTATTTTACAATTTATTAATTATTATATTTTCCATTTTTTCTATAGATAAATTTTTATTGCAAAAAATTGTATTAAGTAATTCGTTACGACCTATTTAAATTTAATTAAATGATAATTTAACTCTTTTTTTACAAATATATTTTAAAATTATTATTTCAAATAAAAATAAATAAGAATATTGTATGATATTAGTTTTGCAACATACCACGACTTTCGTAACAAGGTGTTACGAGTATCACAAGGGAAAGAAAGATGAGGAAGATTCTTCGATGATGTATTATCCATGACTTATCGAAGCCATGAAAAATGAACACGAGGATGACTCTTTTACGATTCATCGAGTATACGTTTTTACGAAAATGAACTGTCAGCTAAGAATTCTGAATTCATTCAACATGTTATGATTTTTGAGTTCCGGTGCCGAAGAATAGTGTTTCATTCGTGAATGCATTATCTGTTACATATTGCCAATCCAATTGAAAGATATATTTTTAAAATTCATCAAACATGGAAAATCACTTGATAAAGATTAATTTCTTGGTCTTCTTTTATCATACAAAATAAAATCTTTTTAAATTCTACTTTAAAATTTTTTTTCTTTTATTCAAGTATTCTTCTTCAAATTTTATTTAAAATTCATTTGAGGTAAATTTTCAATTTTTATATTTCCATCATATAAATCCATTAATGATCAATCTTTTTCATAAATTTGAAAAATATTCATATCCCACAAAATATTTTAAAATATTTAAACTTCACTATCTTTTGTCTCAAACATAGAAATATTATTTTCTTTAATACAATTGAAACTTGATTCACCAAGTAACTTTTATCAACTGAGATCGCACAATATCCGTTTTTCTCCAAAGATAGGAGCCGAAGTTCTTGTTGTTTCGTCAGGAGAATCAAACGAATACTGATCCATCGATTCCCTCCACGAGGTATCTAAAAAGGAAACCTACTCCTTCTTACCATGGTATATACTACATTTGATGACCCGTGTTCACTGTTCTACTGAAACTCAGTGACCCCGAGATTGTTTGTCGGAACTCGCAATGAAACACTCGAGGAACAGCACGCCAACTAATCTTCTTCATCCAGGAGGAGAGATGCTTAGACGCGGTCTGAGAAACCTACTGTTATACTTTCGACGATTTCCTTGAAGCGGGGAATGCTCGAGATGCCACATTCACCTTTTATTTCGCTATTTATTAAATTTATTCATTTCTTCACTTTTTAATCAACTAAATAATGAAATGTATGATGAAATTCTCTTGTAGATAAGATCTAATTTTGAAGTAGTCCAGATTTTTCCCAGAATAAGTTCAAAGATTAAAATACAGATATAAATAACGACGTACATATTTTATTTAATTGCTCTCTTGTTATTTCTTTAAATGAATTTTCTTTAAATTAATACATATTCCTTTAAAATACGAATTAAAATTATTTAAGAAATTTGAAAAATATATATTTATATTTGTTCAATAAAATTGTAAACAAAAATATTAACTATTTTCAAATTGTATAATAATGATAAAATATTTTCATTTTTATTTTCATTTAAAATCCAAAATGTCATGTTACGGTGATTAAGCATCGAAAACAATAAATTTATCAATTGACCGACTAGTCGATGTAGTTCATAATCGTAAAATAGTAACATCCAACTGGTTGGTATTTACTACTAGTAACTATAGATACACACATAGTAAATGTGCTACGTTGAATCTAGCGGTACTTGCTGTGAACAATAGATGTTTGATGGAATATTAAAAAATAATTATTTTATTATAAATACAATGTTCCAATTCAACAGAATGAATTATGCCTATGATTACTTTTGATATTTTAATTATCATAATTTGTTATGTGTAATTTCTTGCAAGTAATTATTATGAACAAATTTTATCAAAATTGCAAATGAAATGTAAAATATTTTATATTTTTCGATCCATTTTTATAAATATCCAATATTAAATTTTCTTTATTTGTATTTGATTATTTACGCGAAATTTAAACGAAATACTCGCCTCAACAATGTTTCCAGGATTTTTAAATCTGATTTCAAAACCAATCCTGCTATATCATGTAGAAAAACAATCATGAGACGAGATTCGCTCACAGGAAATTGCAAGATCGTACTTGTATACCGATAAATAGAACAATGGCCTGTCGAAGAATGAACGCTTCAGACAGTTTCACCCGCGTTAAGTATCGTTTTCTGAATTATAACAATCTCTTTGAATTTGATGAACCTGTAAAAAAATGATATAATGTAAATAAAATTTAATATGTAATAGAATTTATAATCATTTAATGTGATACGACGATAGATTCGAATGTAATTACTCAGTGTTTCTTAAGAGTGCTGAAAAACGTTATATAATGAGATTGAAATCAAGTATTGAATCAAAGTAATTAAATTTCGTTTACTAAATTAACTAGATCACTAACTAAAAAAACTATTATTTCTTATTTATAGGATAAAAATTTCATCTGATAATTATTTTAACATGAAATAGAAAAATGTTTTAAAGAAATTCTCAAAATTTCTATTTTGACTTTAATATAAAATTGGAAAATTAACATCATAAATTTGCTCTTTAGAACACTTTCGCTAATAAAATGATGTTAATTGCTGTTCGAAGTTTGACATTCTTTCTAAGAAATATATACCTGTTTACCTTTATCTTGTTTCGAGTTTCTTCATAGTAAGCAAACATCTATTTTCGTGCAATGAAATGAATGTTAAAGGTCCACGAAGCGAACATCATGAGAAATTATTCTTTGAAGAATGCGAATCAAAAGAAAGCACCAATTGTTGGTGGCATGCAATCCATCCATTAAAGGTTGCACAACCTAAAAAGGTATGTTGTTTGTCAGTGAACAAAGCCAAACAATTTACGAAAAATACATTTGTTTTTACCTCAAAATTGTTAAAAAATTATCTTTACTTAGAATATTAATAATCTTTTAAAGATTATTATTTTTTATTTTCTCTATATAAATAAATCTGTGTCGAAAATTATTATCTGAGGTAGTTAAAACATTATAACTGTAAATTACAAAATTAAATTAAAATTGCTTGCTCTTTTCAAAAATTTTTAAGATTATGATCATTTTTGAAAAGATTTTAGGCAGCCTAAATATGTAAATTAGACACTAGTTACCGCTCTCAAAAGTAGACCATCTGTGAAACGAAGTGTATCGTAATATAATCTTGCCAAGCGCATCGAGACTTCGCTCATTTTATCTAGGATTCGAGGTAGGTAACCATAATAGAACAACATAATTCTAACGCCACGTTATCGTGGAACAAATTGTATACTTTCACCAACAATGTTATCAACCGAAATGTAAAAAGGCGAAATATTGAGGGCGAAACAAAAATTTAATTTATTATATAAAAATTGAACTAAATTTTTATGATTTTAACTTTCTAAAGTAATTCTAAAATAATTCTTGTATATGATTCAAATAATTTAATATTGTATATAAAAAAATGAATAAAAATTTATATAAATATAATATAACATGATACCTGCAATCTTTTTCAAGTTTTACTTATAGAATTCAAATTCTGATTAAATACTCAACAAATTTATCAATCGACCAGGATATTCGACTGATTACCGGAAGAAGTCAGCCTGACGATCCAAGAATTGTAATATAAAAGTTATTCGACAATAATTTGAATTGGATTTAAATGTTCAGGAAGACATTTTATAAATGTATGATTAGATAATTATCTGAAAAAATAAAAAATAAAAAAAATTAACACGGTCATTTTTTTTTTAAAAAGAACGAAGTAAAAAAATTGAGATTTTTATCTTTAAATTAAGAAATCTGTATTTTTATATACATGCCATGATATCTTCTGATATTCCACGATAATCTCACAAAATTCCACGACAGATACAAATAAAATGATAAGATCTAAAGTCTAAATGATTAAAAAAAATTTTGCTTAATTTAAACTGGGTTATAAGTACTGCATAATTCTTAACTTGATATCGTTTTTCAAGAAACAATTTTTGTATCATTTTCAAGATAATAATGAATATTTTCTAAAGAAATATCCATGAAAAATTATATATATATTATTAACTCTTAATACGAGGAAAACTGTGGATCAATAGTCATCTGCAAAGATTTCAATAAAATAATATAAACAAGAAGAGCAAATAATAAAAAAAAGGACAGAAATAGGATAAAAATTTGGAAATCAGCGCCATCTCCAGAGTGCCGTAAAATAAACATGAAAATAACAAAGAGAACAAATAATAAGAGAAAAATAAAGATAGAGATAAGAATTGATTGCTAGTGCCATCTTTTGAATGCTAAATATATCTATTTTTAAAAACTACTAAGAGATGGCGATGATACTCAATTCCTTCTCTACTTTATCCTGTTTACAATTGATACGTTTTATGCTCCAGAGATGGCGCCACTGATCAATTATACTCTATTTCCCAATCCTGCTATATCATGTAGAAAAACAATCATGAGACGAGATTCGCTCACAGGAAATTGCAAGATCGTACTTGTATACCGATAAATAGAACAATGGCCTGTCGAAGAATGAACGCTTCAGACAGTTTCACCCGCGTTAAGTATCGTTTTCTGAATTATAACAATCTCTTTGAATTTGATGAACCTGTAAAAAAATGATATAATGTAAATAAAATTTAATATGTAATAGAATTTATAATCATTTAATGTGATACGACGATAGATTCGAATGTAATTACTCAGTGTTTCTTAAGAGTGCTGAAAAACGTTATATAATGAGATTGAAATCAAGTATTGAATCAAAGTAATTAAATTTCGTTTACTAAATTAACTAGATCACTAACTAAAAAAACTATTATTTCTTATTTATAGGATAAAAATTTCATCTGATAATTATTTTAACATGAAATAGAAAAATGTTTTAAAGAAATTCTCAAAATTTCTATTTTGACTTTAATATAAAATTGGAAAATTAACATCATAAATTTGCTCTTTAGAACACTTTCGCTAATAAAATGATGTTAATTGCTGTTCGAAGTTTGACATTCTTTCTAAGAAATATATACCTGTTTACCTTTATCTTGTTTCGAGTTTCTTCATAGTAAGCAAACATCTATTTTCGTGCAATGAAATGAATGTTAAAGGTCCACGAAGCGAACATCATGAGAAATTATTCTTTGAAGAATGCGAATCAAAAGAAAGCACCAATTGTTGGTGGCATGCAATCCATCCATTAAAGGTTGCACAACCTAAAAAGGTATGTTGTTTGTCAGTGAACAAAGCCAAACAATTTACGAAAAATACATTTGTTTTTACCTCAAAATTGTTAAAAAATTATCTTTACTTAGAATATTAATAATCTTTTAAAGATTATTATTTTTTATTTTCTCTATATAAATAAATCTGTGTCGAAAATTATTATCTGAGGTAGTTAAAACATTATAACTGTAAATTACAAAATTAAATTAAAATTGCTTGCTCTTTTCAAAAATTTTTAAGATTATGATCATTTTTGAAAAGATTTTAGGCAGCCTAAATATGTAAATTAGACACTAGTTACCGCTCTCAAAAGTAGACCATCTGTGAAACGAAGTGTATCGTAATATAATCTTGCCAAGCGCATCGAGACTTCGCTCATTTTATCTAGGATTCGAGGTAGGTAACCATAATAGAACAACATAATTCTAACGCCACGTTATCGTGGAACAAATTGTATACTTTCACCAACAATGTTATCAACCGAAATGTAAAAAGGCGAAATATTGAGGGCGAAACAAAAATTTAATTTATTTATATAAAAATTGAACTAAATTTTTATGATTTTAACTTTCTAAAGTAATTCTAAAATAATTCTTGTATATGATTCAAATAATTTAATATTGTATATAAAAAAATGAATAAAAATTTATATAAATATAATATAACATGATACCTGCAATCTTTTTCAAGTTTTACTTATAGAATTCAAATTCTGATTAAATACTCAACAAATTTATCAATCGACCAGGATATTCGACTGATTACCGGAAGAAGTCAGCCTGACGATCCAAGAATTGTAATATAAAAGTTATTCGACAATAATTTGAATTGGATTTAAATGTTCAGGAAGACATTTTATAAATGTATGATTAGATAATTATCTGAAAAAATAAAAATAAAAAAATTAACACGGTCATTTTTTTTTTAAAAAGAACGAAGTAAAAAAATTGAGATTTTTATCTTTAAATTAAGAAATCTGTATTTTTATATACATGCCATGATATCTTCTGATATTCCACGATAATCTCACAAAATTCCACGACAGATACAAATAAAATGATAAGATCTAAAGTCTAAATGATTAAAAAAAATTTTGCTTAATTTAAACTGGGTTATAAGTACTGCATAATTCTTAACTTGATATCGTTTTTCAAGAAACAATTTTTGTATCATTTTCAAGATAATAATGAATATTTTCTAAAGAAATATCCATGAAAAATTATATATATATTATTAACTCTTAATACGAGGAAAACTGTGGATCAATAGTCATCTGCAAAGATTTCAATAAAATAATATAAACAAGAAGAGCAAATAATAAAAAAAAGGACAGAAATAGGATAAAAATTTGGAAATCAGCGCCATCTCCAGAGTGCCGTAAAATAAACATGAAAATAAACAAAGAGAACAAATAATAAGAGAAAAATAAAGATAGAGATAAGAATTGATTGCTAGTGCCATCTTTTGAATGCTAAATATATCTATTTTTAAAAACTACTAAGAGATGGCGATGATACTCAATTCCTTCTCTACTTTATCCTGTTTACAATTGATACGTTTTATGCTCCAGAGATGGCGCCACTGATCAATTATACTCTATTTCCATCCTTTTCTATAATTTGTTTTCCTTGTCTTTTACGAGTTTCATTTGCGGCACACTGAAGATGGCGCTGATGCTAATACTTTTATTCTATCTCCATCCTTTTTCAAATATTTAATCTCCTTGTCTAATACATTTAGAAACAGCTCCGATATCTGAAGATTTCTTTTTTTAATGAAATTTCTATTAAAGTATTTGTGAAATACATTATTAAATTTAATATTAAAATAATATTTAAATAAAATATTTAAATATTATAATTTTTAATATTTCATTAATAATTTATTATTTGTATAATTCATTGATGTTATATATGATTTATAATTTAATATCAACGTTATAAGTATTTTATCAATATTAATAAGTAAACTTTTTTAAACATAATTAGAAATGTTCAAAAATTTTTTTTATAAATATTAGAGAATATTTGATTATTTGAATTATTTTTTTCTAATTATTGTATCTATATTGCTGAATTAAAAATATTAATAATAATTATAAGGAAATAATATATAAGAAAATAAAATTAAATCAATCTAATCACTTGTTTATGAAATTATTTATCTAACCTTGTCTTTCTTCTTTATTAGTTTAAAGTTCATTTAAAAAAGTGCGAAAAATAAAAAATACGTGTATATCTGGTAATAGCTTATTATTATCCCAATCGACTCCTCTGTGTATTTACATAAAAAACGAGAGGTCGATCGTCAAGACTGAGCTGTAGATCACATAGATTATATTCGTAATCGATGATTTTAGGCACTTTGACACACGATTTCGCCATATTAAAAAGATAAAAATCACCAAAACGACCCAAATCACCAGACTAATCAGATATACCTATTAATTAAAATATAAAAAATACCACAAAGCCGAGTGAAAATAATAGATTAAATGAAAGAATTGTCATTTGTCTGATCATTGTGATCGCATTGCGTGATAAAAAATTAATTTGGATAGGTTAACGTCGATTTAGATAATTATATTCAAATGTTTGTATATTATGAATATAAATATATATATCTTGGAAAATATTAAATGGATCTGTTATATATATATACATATACATATATATGTATATATGTATATATATATATGTAAACATTTATATTAATAATAATAGGAATAGAAATATTAATAATAATATTTATGCATTAATTTATGGTGTAACGTCAATCGCGCTCTCATTTAATAGCACAAAAGAAAAAGAAAGAAAACGATCGTATCGCATAGAAAGCGATCGAGGTTCACCATATAAAAAGAAGAGGAAATGAACCTATATAGCTTGTTTCGAGTTACAAAGCAAACATACGAGAGAAGAAAGCATTCGATTGTTCCATGGTTATGTATCATTTTGTTCTTTTGTGAAACTCGTGAAGATATTCGATGAAACATGATTTAAAAAATTCTTTTAATTGATGCTTATCAATTTAAGTTTTAAAATTTTTTAATTTTTTCTTACTTTCGACACCAATCGATCCAACACTCTTCGATTGCATAAAATAAATGACATTCGATTGTAACAAAGAATGAAAATGGTAAAACGCAATTTTTCGAAAATCCTTTAACCAGACAATTTATTTTATGTTGTCTTCTTTTTACGTGACTGAATTTAAAATCGACATATTATTTCACAATCCATTGTGTATGTTCGTATATCCCTGGAACAAGGGGCTTTCGTTACATCTCATTGAAACGCGCAAGAAACGCTATTCAACAAGAATTACGATCATTAGTTTACTAAACTCGAATTATAGTATCAATCGTGAATTCGAGACCATTCTTTGTGTTGCGCATCAAAAATGAAGCTTTCTACAGGCAATTCGGTATTGCGTACAGATATTTCAAAACAAGTATTATTTTTTATTTTTTTATTCATAAAATTATATCTTTTTAAAAATTATATTATAAAAAGTTATTTTTTATAAACTTAGCAATTTTGTTTCAGTTAATATTTTTATGATAAAATAAAGAGACTATTTAGAAAAATTGTAATAAAAATATAATAAATAAGAAATATAAAAGACTTATTTTGAAACGTTTTATATAAAGAATCCTATAAAACTATTAAAAAATTCAAAATAATGATTTCGAATTAACAATCGATATTATTTTTCAAATACTTTAATTTAATTTCCAATTTATGCCCATAATTAGCTTTCTTCCCGTCATTGTTTGACAAAAATCACAATGAATCTCTCTTTACAGAGATTTTCCGTTTAATGCGAGGAAATGAAGAGAAAGGAAAAAAAGAAAAAGATAAAACGTACGCGAACTACGGATACTGCAAATCCTAGTCTTCAAATAGAATAATAACCTAATTAATACTAATGTCGTACGGTCGTGCAACTCGTTTAAATAGCATCGATGTCTATCGATAAATGCATTTTCCTGTTACATGATCGATAGCAAAAAACAATATCCTGTATCATTCTATTGATCCATCATTTTTTCTTTCTTTTAGAATAAAATGTAACAACATTCTTTCTAACCTATTTCTATTCTTACGAGTCTACTTATATTCGATATAAAATACTCGAATTATTCGATACAGGACCAATAAATGGCTAAATTAAGGTACAATTAAAAACATAAAGAAGCTTCACACAAATCGTTTAGAAACAATAGAAATAATTACTTGTTCACTATCTTCTATCGAATTTCATTGAAAGTGATAAATAGAAAAAGTCAGATTATTATTAGATTTCGCTTTTGATTATATTCCATTTCTTTTGATCATTCATTTCATCATTTTTTTGAAATTCGAGATGTATAATACAAAAGATTTTTTAAAATAATTATTTGTTTTCAGTTTTTAAATTTTTTAAATAAATTAAAAACTTTCAAATTCTTATTATATTTTCGACTCATTTTTCGAGATATTCGCTAATACAAATTCAGTTGATACATTTGAAAAATTTTCAAAATTTAATTTGTTAAAATAAATTTCAATTATTAAAAAGTATTCAAATCAAAATCAACAATTATCAATAATCAAAAATAATTAATTTTTCTGATTCTTTTCTGAATCTTTAATAATTTTAATTTTAATTTAATTTTCATCAAAAATATTCATACTTTTTGATCATGTTTTTTCAGTTTAAAATATTCGAATTAATCAAATTTAATATTCGAACATTTCCAAAGAAGTCAATAGTATAATTTAATGATATACAATACATTACAGATAAATGTAATACAAATACTAATTTTTTGATAAAATTAAATTATTTGAATGGATAACATGATCACTCAAAATAAAATATTTTGCTTTGTGCCTTTAGTTTAGTTTGAAACGAATTTGTTTCGATTGCTCGAGTACAGGTATATCTTCTATATGCGTTTGATGATATTCGATATTATGATATATCGAATGTATTGAAAAAATATAATTAACTCAAGAACCGATCGATATCGCGATTATCTCGAAGGGCGTTGAGCAAAGACAGCATTCAATTTACAATTCGCAAATACGTTTCTTCATCTAGTGGCACAAATTGAAAAATCGTTAACGCTATCCTTATTCTACGCTTTATTCTAATCGTTGTCGTATATTCCATCCGATTACACAGCCATTTCGTTCTCGAATGTATTGGTCAACGAATAAATGCTTCGCGCTTTCCATTCAAGGATCTTTATTTATACTTCATTAGTTGTAAAATCAAAATATATGTTGTATAATTTTTAAGAAACTGCAAAGTATCATTATTATAAAAAAAATATATATAATACTTTTATAGAAAGATTATTTTTATAATAAATTTTTGGCATAGACCCTTGGTAGAAAGAAAAAAAA